TGTGAATCCATGAGGACAGTTACTTAATGTTTACTTTGGGTCAGATGGTGTGCTGGTTGTTGAGGATATGGGGATGAATAAGACATAGTTGCAGCCTGCTAATAAACAACGTCTCACCTGCTAGGAATAAGAAGGCGTGAGACCAATTCTGTGGAATTCCAGTTCCTCTGACTTGAGAATGGAGATCCTTAATATACAGCTCTTTAACACACTAGGCTGTGAGCCTCCAGACAGGTATGTTTACCAGCCACCCGGCTCGGGGCATGCCGACAGTGGATACTTAGTATGAATTTGTGAGTTGATTTGAGCCCTGAGAGCAGCTTCCGGTCTGGGTGCCAGGTGTATGTCCCAATGAGTTAGACTAAGGGACCTGCCATCTTCTAGGTCAGGGTGGGCCTGTTACAAGTTTATGTGGGTGAAATGTTTTTAAGACGAACTTTCTGTGTATTTGTCTACTCACAGTTTTGTTATTAAAGGTGTCCACATCACCTCCTGCCTTTCTGGGTCAGTAATCTTCTTGTCCCTAAATTGAGTGGTGGGGGGAGGGGAGCCAGAACCAGTCTTAAGCCATCATTTTTGAGAAGGGGCTGCATTGACTGGGACACTTCATCTCCCTTGAGGGAAACTTTAATTCCAGCGAAGTTTGGTCTCAAGACAGAGAGTGGGCTTGAGGGCTAAGGGTAATAATACTAACAACAAAACTATTTTGTAAAATCTTTTTACACTGAATTACAACATTATTGTTACAACGTTATAAGTAACTGAGCAGAAGCCTTTTTTAAAATTTTTCTTTTCCTTTAATTACTATTTCATTCTCAAAAAAGTTATTGATATAAGTTCACAAATATCAATTACCACAATATTGTAGCTAAAACACCAGAAAATCTGACAAAATCAGAGACTATAAAAACACTGGTAGCAACAAAAACAACACTGTGGGCTGGTAGGGCATGCAGATGAAACCGCGTGATTCAAAGCATCATTGTAATTGGGTGATAATGACAACTCTGACCACATTAGAAATTCAAAAAGTAAATAAGCATAGAGTTTTCATCTGGTAGGTATATTGATACATGTAAGCTGGGCTTATTAAAAATGTTTTTGTTGTAACTACAGAGATTTTTAAAATAAAAAATAATAAATTTCTGCTGAACACTGCACAAAATTTTTATAGACAGTCATTTTGGTGTCACTCCCTCTGACAGTGTCACCCAGTGGGGTCCATACCCCCTACATTCCCCCTAGGGACACAGTGACACCACTGACCTCATCTTTAAGAGAACAACAAAAAAAATGAAGGGGTTCCTTAAGTGTGGACTTCCAAAGAGTATAGTATGGAAAGGGGTGGAAAGAGTAACTTTATGGTGGAGAAAACTGACAAACACTACTTTAGCCAGGTGTTAAAGGTCAACATTAACAAGTCATGTTCATAGTATGTACCCTTGACGTGATGAAAATGGCACTTGACCTCTGTGACCTTTCTCCCAAAAACCCATAACTCCAGTCTAATCATGAGGAAAACATCAAACAAATCCTAAACCTGACCAGTATTCCTCAGAACTGTCAAGGTCATCAAAAACAAGGAAAGTCTGAGAAACTGTCATAGCCCCGAGGAGCCTAAGGAGACATGGTGACTAAATGTAATGTGGCATCCTGAATAGGATCCTGGAACAGGACAGTAGGTAAAAACTAAGGAAATCTGAATATAGTATGTTGTTGTTGTTGTTAGATGCTATCGAGTTGGTTCCGACTCATAGCAACCATATGTACAACAGAACAAAACACTGCCCAGTCCTTCACCATCCTTATAATCGTTGCCATGCTTGTGCTCATCCTTGCAGCCACTGTGTCAATCCATCTTGCTGAGAGTTTCCCCTCCTTCGCTGATCCTCTACTTTACCAACCAGGGACTGGTCCTTCCTGATAACATGTCCAAACTATGTGAGGTGAAGTCTTGCCATCCTCGCTTCCAAGAACACCCTGGCTGTACTTCTTCCAAGACAAACCTGTTCATTCTTCTGGCAGTCCAAGGTATATTCAAGATTCTTTGCTAACACCATAATCCAAAGGCATTGATTCTCTTCTTCGGTCTTCCTTATTCATTGTTCAACTTTCACATGCCTATAAGGCGAATGAAGAGACCAAGACTTGGGTCAAGTGCTCCTTAGTCCTCAAAGTGACATCTTTGCTTTTGAACACTTTAAAGAGGTCTTTTGCGGCAGATTTGCCCAACGCAATGTGTCGTTTGATTTCTTGACTGCTGCTTCCATGGGCATTGATTATGGATCTGAGTAAAATGAAATCTTTGACAACTTCAGTCTTTTCTCTGTTTATCAGGATATTGCTTATTGGTTCAGTTGTGAGGATTTTCATTATCTTTATGTTGAGGTGTAATCCACACTGAAGGCTGTGGTCTTTGATCTTCATCAATAAGTGCTTCAAGTCCTCTTCCCTTTCAGCAAGCAAAGTTGTGTCATCTGCATATCACAGGTTAACGATGCCATAAAGTCCACCTTCTTCATATAGGCCAGCTTCTCAGTTATTTGCTCAGCATACAGACTGAATAAGTATGGTGAAAGGATACA